CCTTCCCAGAACCCAAATAGTAGAGCTAGAATGCCTTCCCAGAACCCAAATAGTAGAGCTAGAATGCCTTCCCAGAACCCACATAGTAGAGCTGGAACACCTTCCCAGAACCCACACAGTAGAACTAGAGCACCTTCCCAGAACCCACACAGTAGAGCTAGAACACCTTCCCAGAACCCACATAGTAGAGCTAGAACGCCTTCCCAGAATCGACATTGTAGAGCTAGAATGCCTTCCTAGAACCCACACAGTAGAGCTAGAGCACCTTCCCAGAACCCACACAGTAGAGCTAGAGCGCCTTCCCAGAATCGACATTGTAGAGCTAGAATGCCTTCTGAGAACCCACACAGTACAGCTAGAATTCCTTCCCAGAACCCACACAGAAGAGTTAGAACGCCTTCCCAGAATCCACATAGTAGAGGTAGAACACCTTCCCAGAATCCAAATAGTAGAGCTAGAATGCCTTCCTAGAATCCTCATAGTACAGCTAGAATGCCTTCCCAGAATCCACATAGTAGATCTAGAATGCCTTCCCAGAACCCAAATAGGAGAGCTAGAATGTCTTCCCAGAACCCAAATAGTAGAGCTGGAATGCCTTCCCAGAACCCAAATAGTAGAGCTAGAATGCCTTCCCAGAACCCACATTGTACAGCTAGAACACCTTCCCAGAACCCACACAGTAGAGCAGGAACACCTTTCCAGAATCCAAATAGGAGAGCTAGAACACCTTCCCAGAACCGAAATAGTAGAGCTAGAACACCTTCCCAGAACCGAAATAGTAGAGCTAGAACACCTTCCCAGAACCGAAATAGTAGAGCTAGAACACCTTCCCAGAACCCACATAGTAGAGCTAGAATGACTTCCCAGAACCCACACAGTAGAGCTAGAATGCTTTCCCCAAACCCACATAGTAGAGCTAGAATGCCTTCCCAAAACCCACATAGTAGAGTTAGAATGCCTTCCCAGAACCCACACAGTAGAGCTGGAACGCCTTCCCAGGTAGGGTTGATTCCAAAGCACATATACATAATCTTGCCAGACAGCATCACTGGAACCATGTGAGAAACCAGAGTCCAAAGCATATACCCTGGAGAGGAAATGCACGTGAAACATACTGCCTTATGGCATCTGAGCTGCATCATGAGAGATGCAGATATGTTATATCACATATCATAAAAGCACAAGCATTTGATGGATTTCAAATATGAAGACTGTGCCAGGAGAATCACTAGTCTGCTTTTGGAGCTCTTTCAGATCTCAAGGTGCTCCTCCAAGACATTCCTTTCAGGGTTCATTCTCACCATCAGGAAATTCTCCTCCACACCCAACCTAATGACTCCATGCTGAATCTGGGCTCTCTTTTTGGGATTTTTTTAAGAGGTAGAGAACAGCTAAACCTTATTTTCTACATAATAACCACTCATAAGCTTGAAGCCTTCCATAATAATCTTGTCTCTGGGATAAGTAATCCTAATTCTTATCCTTTCTTAAAAATATTTTCTAAAAATGTGATTTTTTAAGATCTGTAAAGAAAAGTGATGTTTATGTTGCCCACATGCCTCTTAAATTGTGTTGCCTGCTAAGGGACCATTGCATAGTAAGGTGGTGAGGTTTGCAGTCTGACTGGTTTATGGCTTCTACAAGTCTGCTCAGGCCTCCCAAGGCCTTTTGACCTCGGTAATAAGACTCTGAGCATTTGTTATCCATACCTTACACTTAAGGCGCTGAGGAAAATCAAAACTGCACTTGTCCAAGGAAAAGGTGAGAAAAGCACATAAATAGAACAATTTGGGGGTGTGTAAAGTGCAGTTATTCTTAGTAAGAATACCTAATTGATAGCATAGAAAAATAAAATCAACACCTAGGGTCCGTAATAACAGAGTACATGTTTTTACAAAATAGAGAAAGACAGTCCATCAAAAGCACTTTCCTTTTCCAAATTGTAGAAGAATTTCTGAGAGACAGGCCTTTCCAGAAATCATGATCAGGTCAGAAATCTAATGATGTGATGATGATAGAACAAAAAGATGGAGGGGTTTATTAAGACGGAGTAACTGTACAAAAGGAAGGAACACAACTTTGAAAATGAGTTATATAAAAGATAAAATCATCAATGCCTAAGGAAATTATTCAAAAGAATAAATTAATTCTATACTATATCAAAAAGAAACATTAATAAGAGGTAACAATAACCAAGAGCTTTCCCAGATGCCAGGCATTGTTTTAGGCACAAGACATGCATTGACTCATTTAATTCTCACAGATCCCAATCCTGCAAATAAGAAAAGCAAGGCAAGGGAAGTTATGTGATAAAAGTTCACGCTGGAGGTACAAGGCAGATTTGAAATTCTAACACAGGTCGTTTGGCCAGGGCTGAGCCCTCCACCTCCTTAGGCATATGGGGCTGGTGCCCTACTCCTTTGAGCCATAGGCACCGCTCAGTCTTTGATTTTTTTTAACCACTGTGCTCTACTAATATCAGCAGATGATTTACCAAGGATTGAGCTATTGAATCTACCAGTTCATCAAGACTAGCCATTCCCAAACACAGAGAGAAGAGAGAAATTCTTTTTTGTTGTTCTTTTTATTTTCACTGCAGTGTTCTCTTGTGCTCCAATCAGTGGTGTGATCAAGAAAGACCATGCCCAGGGGTAAATTTTAAAGACGGATCCTCATGGGATGTGCATGGCTGGCTCGGATCAGGATGCTGTTTTTGCCCGTCTCCACTGGAATGCACTTGAATTTGTCTCGCTCCAACTACAGTGTTTCTGTTTTGAACTTGTAGGTGCTCTAGTGCCTCCTTCTTTTTGCAGGATTCTTGTATCATCTGTGTCTGTGTCTGCATCTGCCTCCATCACTGGATAACAAGCTCCTAGAAGACCCAGGACTCTGCCTTCTGTATCTTTGTGCTACCAAGCACCCAATGACAGTCATGTTCCTCCCTAACGACAGGGGCCAACAGAGGGTCTACCCAAGCAGGAGTCTACCTGGGGAACGCGGTGAGTGCAAAGTGCCTTTGACCTCTGGGCTGTCTGGCGCAAAAGCTCAGATGCCATGTTCAGGGACCCGAGAATGTTAATGTTGAAGCCAGATTAATAGACCAACTGCCTCACTGCCCAGTCCAGAGGTTGAGATGTACAAGTCGGAAAAATAGAGCAAGAGAGAAACCAAGCATAGGGAAAGTAAGTGGAGACTCGGAAATATCAAAATGAAATCAAACTTTTGTACATCAGCAGTTGTACATATCTCATAGAATCCCCACAGAAGGGCTATTTAAATGCCACCAGTACCAAAATGCAATCAACCTCATTGTGAGAACAAAAAGCCCAGGTTTGATCAATTTTTGCACAAATGAAAGTCATTCTATGTGCCTAAGCGGTAAACGTTTAGCTTCAATCTGCAGTTCACCGGACTTGAGCTGCTCAAGTGTGGACTCAATTTTGAAGGAAAAGTGCAAAGTTTAAAAATATATAAAAACCGTTACAACAACATCTTCAAAATGTGCTACTGGAAGCAATAGTAACTAAAGGATTTAATCTTCTTTTTCATTCTCTTGTGTAACAAGCTCCTTATAACACAAATGTGTTGCTCGCTTTCAGACATTTGACTTTCAAACATATTTTTGAGAAACTCGTTATACAAAAAATGTAGCACCCTGTTTGTATAAAGCTTTTGAGAAGAGCAGATGTTATTTTACTAGTTAAGGCCGTGGTCCTCATACAGGGGCAATTTTGCCTCGAAGGGGACATTTGGAAATGTCCAGAGACGTTCTTGATTGTCACAGCTGGGGAAGGGGGAGTTCTTGGCATCTGGTGAGTGGAGGTCAGGGTCACTGCTGAACATCCTGCAGTGCATGGGACAGCCCCATGACAAAGATTGACCTAGTCCAACATGTCAACAGTGCTGAGTTTAAGAAATCTTGGCTTAGGGCAAAATAAAAGCTGTAAAATACAAGTAACGCTACTATCTGTGTGACTTAGCCCCAGAGGTTTATTGCTCTGTTCATAATCCAGTGTGGGTTGGCAGTGGGGCTTACATGCCTTCAGGAATCTAGATTTTATCTATCCAGTTACCCCACTACACCCCAAGGCTTTAGAATCTTCCACTAGACCTTTCTGGGAGGCCAAGGGAGAAAAAGAGCCTTTAAGAGAAATGCCTGGGAGACCTTCTGGGCTCTATCTGAAGCTGATGTGTGTTGAGTATATTAGTTCTACCCGCGTTCCCACTGGCCAGAATGGTCAGTCACATGTCTGTATCTAAAGCCAAGGTGGGGCCAGGAAATGTAGTCTTGGCTGTGTGCCAAGAAGGAGAACCAAGCTGGGGGAGTCTCTACCTGGTCCCTGCCCCATGGCTCAGTTGTCTTTGAGTTCACAGGTGCCTGATAACAGTAAGTTAATAATATTAGTGCAAAGGAATTTTATTTATATAGAGCAATATTCCCTTTTGAAAAAACAGGAACTGGAAGAATATGAAACTGACACTTAATATAGAGTTAAGTATTGCACGTCTCACCATAGTGAAATTTTATAGTATTTTTAGTGCTGTTTCTAAAACACAAGTGTATATGTCACTTGATACTAACTTCATTAATTTTAAATGTTCAAACTCTTATCAGATATTTTAGTGAACATAACTTATATTTCTTTTCTAATTCATTTTGTTAAGATTTCTTTATTGTGAGGACAGACGCAGTGGCTCATGCCTGTAATCCTCCTACTCTGGGAGGCTGAGGCAGGCAGATTGAGCTTAAGAGTTTGACGCCAGCCTAAGCAAGAACAAGACCCCATTCCTACTAAAAATAGAAAAATTGGCCAGAAAAATTGGCACATGCCTGTATTCCCATATACTCAGGAGGCTAAGGCAGGAGGATTACCTGAACCCAGGAGCCTGAGATTGCTGAGAGCTGGGCTAATGCCATAGCACTCTAGCCTGGGCAACAGTGTGAGACTCTGTCTCAAAATATATATTTTTGTGTGTGAATTTTTAAATACTAAGCACACAAAATTTTTACATAAACAACAAAATTATTATTCTTATAAAGTTAATATAAAATCAAATCAACAAAATTGTTATTCTTATAAAGTTAATATAAAATCAAATATCAGCTTTCTACATATCATTCTGATAAGTAAAAGAGACAAAATAGCTCCAATGACAAACAGAATAATGCTTTATGTATTTTGACCCTTGACATCTTTAAAGAGATATTTTTTAAGCAGTAAATTCCACATGCCTTTTTTTTAACAAAAAGGGTGGGAGCTAACTTTAAACTGATAACCCAAATCTCAGCAATCAGGAATTTTCAGGTCTAAGCAAATATTCATTTCTAGAAGGGAGAAAACGAAATGTTTCAGACTATCAGAGGGTAAATTAAATTACTAGGCAACTATTTTCCCAACAACCTACCTTGATTCTCTTCTGAAATGAACAATTGGATTTAGTGTAGCCACGGAGAGCATAATATTAAAATACAACCCATTGCAAAAATTTCTCTTCAACATTTCTGCCTGCCTTTCTTTCTGAATACCAAAGTTCCTCTTACTAATGGAATGCTTACGGCATGCTAAGAAGTCCATCAACAGTATAGAGGAAGGACAGAGACAGAATGTGGCCATGATACAATCGCTGCATTCCACTGTGGAGGTGATAAAAATGCATGGGGCCTCATAAATATTTCTGACCCATTTGCTTAGAGAGATGGAAGTATTTATGGTTTGAAAACCTCTGGCTATAAAAAAGCATTCCAGTTTATTCTATGCTATCAAGTAGCCTTTTGTTAAAGTAGAATTTTATGGGTAAGTTATTACTGGGAAACTTGCCTTTAGAACATTAGTAATGCCATAAATTCCATCCAGCCCATCTCAGTTATTTTGGGCAGAAACTATATCTAAATGGGCCAGCTACATTTCACCAAAGATATTGCAGCCTATTCAGAGGCCCGTTTGTGATCTTCTTGGTCCTTGTTTTTTTGACATAGAAATGTTAGAAATAGTCATACTAGTTTTCTTTAAAGAGTTTCAATAAAAAGACGATATGAAAATTCTCTGAAGATTTAGTAAGTCCATGGGCTCAGCATGGTGACATGTGGCTATAATCCTAGCATTTGGGAGGCTAAGGTGGGAGGATCGCTTGAGGCCAGGAGTTTGAGACCAGCCTGAAAAAGATAGTGAGACCCTGTCTCTACAAAAAAAAAAAAAAAAATTAAATAGTCAGGAGTAGTATTGAATCCCTATAATCCAAGCTACTCAAGACGCAAGGGAATTCAGGACTGCAGTGACTGAATTCTGCTGCCCTCAGCCTGGGCAACTGAGACCCTGCTTTGACATAAAAAAAAAAAAAAAAAAAAAAAAAAGATTTGTAGTTAAATCAATCTTAATTAGCTGTAGAATCACATTGCAGCTCATGAAAATACCATGTGGGATTCAGGAACAGATATTTCCCATCCTAAATCCCTCTGGTAGGAAGTTTATAACATATTCTTTCAAAATTGTATTGTCACTTTGAAACCTATAGGTATTTCATCACACGCGCCTGTTTGGCTTCCAAATTAGGCTGAAAACTCATTGATATTAGAGCTTGCATATTTACAAGAGGCAGTTTAGCTTTGGAGCCAGACATCCCAGGTTTTAGTAGTGGTTCTGCAACTAAATAGCTGCTTGGCCTTGGGCGAGTTACACAACAATTCTGTACCTCTCTCTCTTGCTCTGCAAAAGGGGGACAATAAAAATACCTACTTTGTAAAGATTGCATAAATTATTGCAGATAATGTTCTTAAAGCAGTATGTTACACATAGTAGCCCCCAACAAGTGTTCACTCCTGTTGTTGTTGTTCTCTTTCTGAATGTCCCTACACAGAGCATCCAGGGGACTATTGGTACCATGGGAGGCACCTCCTATATATTTATTGAATTAATTGGCTGTGGCATATTTTATATGGTTATAGAGACATATGGTATTAGCCTAGTATGGTCAGGGGAGAGGATTTGGAGTCAATTAGGAGCCAAAGAGGACTAAGAATCTAGCTTATTAGAAACATAACCTGTGCTAAATAAGCAAGTGAAAGTAATTAAGTCTTGGTTTCTCTCTCCTATAAAATGGTACCAAGAATATTCTGAAAAGATCAATGCAAGAATTAGGAAACATGTATGGTGAGAATTGGCAAAAATATCTGGCACTCAATGAATGATAGCTATTACTAACCCATGCAGGATAATGCTTAAAGAATGATAACACTCACTCCCACCACATCTGTGCCTCCCCTGTGCAAGGCACTGCACTGGTGACTGGAGAAGGGAAGACGAAAGACAGGATTTCTGTTGCTCATAGTACATTGAGATGTAGGATTTTCAAAATGTGATGAAATAGATAATTTTATGCAAAAGTAAAGCATAAAATTTTAAAAGTGACCCCAACAATAAGTAGAAAGGCATCAATAACCATATTGTAGTTATGGCCAGGCCTATCTCATCAAAACCCTGCATAGGTGCAACAGCATCATGAGAATTTAACACTAGATTATGTTTTGTAAATGTTAGGTGCCTCGGTGGTACAAAGTGGCACTCAAAAAAAGTTTTTTTGAGGCTGCATCTCACTCTGTGCCCTCAGTAGAGTGTCAAGGTGTCATAGCTCACAGCAAACTCAAACTCTTGGGCTCA